TACTCTTCATTGTGGTGCACGGGCTTCTCATTGCGGTGGCTTCTTTTGTTGTTGCAGAGCACGGGCTCTAGGCGCGTGGGCTTCAGCAGTTGTGGCACACGGGCTTCAGTGGTTGTAGCTCGTGGGCTCCAGAGCACAGGCTCAGCAGTTGTGGTGCATGAGCTTAGTTGCTCCAGAGCATGTGGGATCCTCCCAGACTAGGGCCCAAACCCGTGTCCCCTGCACTGGCAGGCGGATTCTTAACCACTGCGCCAACAGGGGAGCCCCAATTGATTTTTATGTATTGCTCTTGTATCCTGAAATCTTGTTGAACTCACTTATCAGTTCTAGTAGTTTTTTTGGAGATTCCATCAAATTTTCTATATAAATGATCACGTCATATATGAATAAACACAGTTTTACTTCTTCGCTCCCAATCTGGATGCCTTCTATTTTTTCTTGTCTTATTGCACTGACCAGAACCTCCAATATGATGTTGAATAGGTGATAAGACTGGACAACCCTGCCTCATTCCCAGTCTTAGAGTGAAAGCATTTAGTATTTCACTATAAAGTATGCTGTTAGCTATAGGATTTTTGTAGATGTTCTTTTTCAGGTAGAGGATCTTCCATTCTATTCCTAGTTTGTTCAGAGATTTTATCAAAACTGAACATAGGATTTGTAACAAATTAATCATTAGAGAAATGCAAATAAAATGCTAATGAGGTACCACTATATGCCTACTAGAATAGGTAAAACTAAAAAGACTGACCATACCAAGTATTGGTGAGGATATGAAGCAACTATAACTCTCATTCAGTACTGGTGGGCATGTAGTACAACCACTTTGGAAAACAGTTTGGCGGTTCCTTAAAAAGTTAAGAAGGTATCTACCCAAGAGAAATGAAAATACATGTCCACACAAAAACTTGTACATAAATGTTCATAGCTGCTTTATTTGTTATATCCAAACACTGGAAACAACCCAAATGTCCAACAGGTGAATGGACAGACAATGGTGGTATATTCATACCACACACCAGCAATAAAAAGAAATGAACTATTGACATGAACCTGCAATAATGTAGATGGATCTCAAATAATTATGCTAAGTGAAAGAAATCAGACCAAAAAAATGTATACTGTATGACTCATTTATACAAAATTATTGAAAATGCAAACTAATCTATAGAGACAGAAGGCAAATCAGTGGCTGCCTGGGGACAGGGGTTGGGAGAGGCAAGAGGAGGAGACATGGTGAAGCTTCTGAGGGTGATGGATATGTTCACTGTGATTGTGATACTGGTTTCACGGATATATCAATACAAATGTCAAAACTTATCAAATTGTACACTTTAAATATGTGCAGTTATTACATGCCAACTATGCCTCAATTCAGCAGTTTAGAAGTGGAATAATAAAATTTTTAAGAGAATGTTAGTGATACAAATAATTATTAAAAGAACATATAGGGACCTCCGTGGTGGCGCAGTGGTTAAGAATCCACCTGACAATGCAGGGGACACGGGTTAGAGCCCTGGTCTGGGAAGATCCCACATTCCATGGAGCAACTAAGCCCGTGAGCCACAACTACTAAAACCCATGGGCCTAGAGCCCGTACTCCACAACAAGAGAAGCCACCGCAATGAGAAGCCCACGCACTGCAACGAAGAGTAGCCCCTGCTCACAGCAACTAGAGAAAGCCCATGCACAGCGACGAAGACCCGATGCAGCCATAAATATATATATATATTTTTTAACCTTATAAAAAATATAAGAACATACACATTATATTAAAAAATAAGAGCTATACTCCGAGATCATAACCACAGACAAAATGTCTTGAAAAAAAAGCAGCTAAAGTTCTCATCAAAACATAGGGTATCAAAAGTCAGGGTTATTACTGATTTTGATATTTAGAGAAATATCAGTTTGGGTTTTTTTTTAAGTGTTGAAAAACTTCAAATCCAGCAGAAGTGACTGGTTAGCCACTGGGGCCTCCCATGTTAAGAGGCATCAGTGCCAACTTGTCAAAGGGTGGGGAGTGGACCCGCTGGCTTCCCAAGTCACATCCTGTGACTCTTCCAAATACCCAGAGCCAGGAACCAGCTCAGCGCCACTACCAAGGGAATATGAGAGCCACCTCCCCTTCTCTGCTTCATCCCTGCCTCCTTGATATTTAAGGAAGGAGACAGATAGATAGATATATCTGATATATCTGAAGGAAAGGAAGTAACTATCTCAAAGACATATCTGCACCCCCATGTTCATTGTAGCATTATTCACAATAGCCAAGATATGGAAACAACCTAATTGTTCATCCGTGGACAAATGGATCAAGAAAGTGTGATATATATACACAGAATGGAATATTATTCAACCAGAAAAAAAAAAGAGGGAAACCCTGACTTTGGCAACAACATGGATGAACTTTGAGGGCATTATGCTAAGTGAAATAATTCAGACAAAGAAAGACAAATACTGCATGATCTCACTTATATATGGAATCTAAAAAAGCTGAACTCATAGAAACACAAGTAAAATGGTGGCTGCCAGGGGCTAGGAGCTGGAGAAATGCAGAGATGTTGGCTAGAGGTTACAAACTTCCAGTTATGAGATGAATAAGTTCTGGGGATCTAATGTACCACATAGTCACCGTACTTAGCAATACTGTATTATATACCTGGAGGTTGTTAAATGTTCTCACCACCACCCAAAAAAATGGCAGTTATGTGAAGTGGCAGAGGTGTTAACTAACCTTATTTTGTGGTAATCATTTCATAATATATACATGTATCAAAATATCATGTTGGGGCTTCCCTGGTGGCGCAGTGGTTTGAGAGTTCGCCTGCCGATGCAGGGAGCACGGGTTCGTGCCCCGGTCCAGGAAGATCCCACATGCCATGGAGCGGCTGGGCCTGTGAGCCATGGCTGCTGAGCCTGCGCGTCCGGAGCCTGTGCTCCGCAACGGGAGAGGCCACAACAGTGAGAAGCCCGCGTACTGCAAAAAAAACACAAATATATCATGTTGTACACCTTAAGGAGGCAGGGCTACAACTACAAGACAGACACGGCCCAACTATCAGGGAGTTTACCTTCCAGTGAGAATCCCAGAGAGAAGACACGTAATAGGGGCGGGGCGGGGACGCAGCCCTTAGCTCGCGGCTGTTAGCGCGAGACCCTGAGCGCCGCGGTGAGAGGCCCCGCCCCACCAACAGTCAGCCTCGCAGTGGTCCTCGTGGCAGAGAGTGCGGTAAGAGGCGGGTTACAGCCTTCTCCCCGGGGCCCTCCAGGCCTTCTGGCCTCAGGGCCTGCCGGTGAGCTGGGCGCCCAGCGACAGGCTGAAGGCTGTGTCCTGCAGAGCTCACGCCCTCTCCATGGCCGCCCACTGGCTGGGCCCAGGCCTTGAGGCTGCAGTGAACCTCTCCCCCATCCCCGCCTCTGCGACCCTAATGGCAGCAGCAGTTCTACATGGCTCGCAGTCCGCGTGACCTGGCCCTGCTGTTTGGGCGGCCTGAGGAGCCTGAGGGCCAGTTGGGTCCTTGCGCGCCTGGCTCCCTCAGTGATGATGGCTGGGCAGGGTCTGGGGACATAGCCCTGAGGGTGCTGCCAGCGGAGATCTGCCTCTTCAGCCGGGCCTGGGCACTGGCGGTAAGACCCATACTGGGTGCTGCACCAACGCTCCCGGCAGGGTAACTGACCTCCGCAGGGACCCCCTCCTCTAAGCCAGGACCTGGACCTCAGAGAGTAAAAGTTGGGCCTTTGGGACCTTGCCCTTTCTGGTTAGAACAGAGAATAACATTTGTTTTGGTAGAGGTTTACAGGAACATCGTGACCTGACCTCAGGAACAAAGGATCTGACACCAAAGAAGTTTGCAACAACTAACCACAGCCCTCCCTCACCTTTCCTATAAAAGGGCTTTGCTGAAAGCTTGAGGGGAGTTCAGGGTTTTTAAGGCACGAGCCACCTGTCTCCTTGCACGGCCCTGCAATAAACCTTTCTCTGCTCCAAACTCTGACGTTTTAGTATTGTTTGGCCTCACTATGCGTTGGGCACACAGACTTCCCTACAGTAACAGACACAGGGAGGGCAGGTTAACAGAACCTGGGGGCTGATTAGCCGGGGGTCAGGGGACATGGAGGAGTCCACGATGACTGTCAAGCTTTCAGGCCTGGTTAACTGAAGAGCCAGGGAACTAGCATCAGGAAGAGGTGATGTAGGGAGGACATGTGGGCAGGAATATGTAGAGTTCAGTTTGGGTCATGGTGAAACTGATGGAATTTCTTTGGTTGTCCCCTTATGAGTGAGGACCCACAGGATTTGTAGGAGGAGGACAAAGCCAGGGCCAGAGAGTTGGTGGGCTCAGGCTAGGCCTGAGGACAGCCAGGAGCCACAGGGCTTTGCACCGTACCCCAAAGGCACGTGGCCAAGGGGCCTGGTCAGGAGTCAGGCAGCCTGTGTCCTGGCCGGAGTACAAACACATACTAACCCTCCACCCTGGGCAAGTTGTTCACTTCTCTGAGTCCTTGGCATCTGCTAAATGCAGATGAAAATGCACTCCTCGAATATTTCACAGGGTGGCTGTGAAGAATCTGGAAGAAATTTAGAAATTGTATAAGGCTATATAAATAAAAGGGGTCAAGCCCAAGGCCTTCTATGGGAAAGCTGAGGTTTATGGTGACTTGCCCAGGGCCAAACAATGGTTACCAGGTGCCATCAAGCTCTGGCGCCTCTGCGCCTCTATGACACCCCAGTCCCTCTGGGCACTTGCTGGTGGCACTTTCTGTGGAACACTGAGCCTCTTTTGGGGCCATCCCAGAAGACAAGACCCTCAGACTCCAATCCCGCCTCAGACACACACAAGCCTTTTACCCACTTGGCCCGGATCAAGGTCAGCCTCTGCAAGATATGTTCCCGCCCAGCTGGGAGGCAGAGCAGAAACCCACAGCCACCAGGACAACCCAGGCCCTACGGAGCCACACAGGCTGGGTTGTCACCTGGGAAATGAGAGATGTCCAGCTCTGAGCAGGTGCTCCAAGAAGGTTTATTAGTATCCACATTGGGGAGCCCCAGGCTCTTGCCGAGAACAAGGGGCCGATAGCATCCAGTCGGGGAAGCAAGGCCACCACAGGCTGACAGGTCTGGCACCCATGGAGATGGTGATGCTTCTGCTTCAAGCACAGCCAACTCACCCATCTCTGCCCTTTAAGTCTCCTTGTAAAGAGGGAGGGCTGTCCTTTCCACGAAGAAATGAGGTCCCTGGTGGTTTCTTAACTTGTCTGACATCTACCAGCCCCCAGAAACCTTGACACAGGCCCTCTGTCTGCTCCCCCAACCTCGGCCAGCATCAGCAACCACATGTTCGGCGCAGGGAGCCCCCCCTCACCCTGGCAGCCCCCGCTCGCTCCTAGAACCTGCCAGCTAAAGTCTGGAGCGGACAAATTCTATCAGGTGCTCCAACTGCTCCTCCAGGTGCTGCTCATCTCCGTGGTTCTCAATGACCCAATCGAAGGCCCCGACGTTGTCCAGGCCACATTCTGACTCAGCATCATCCACCCCTGCAGAGGAGGTACGGCGAGGTCAGGCCCCATCCCTCCTGACAAACACCAGGCATCAGGCATTGTGGCCTGCTGACCCCACATGGAGCCACCCTCCCTTGCACTCCCCTCGGTCCCTCCGGAACCAAGCTCCACTTACCCCAAAGGGCACTTCCCCACCCCATGAAACACCAGGATAGCAGGTTCAGCAGTCCACAGCCACCTGAGCCCCCCAGAGGGTCCCGCCGACTTAAGCCTTCACTTGTCACTGCCATCTCAAACCACAGACAACCCAAATGGCCATTTCGTTTTCATTTTATGTGAAGCTGGTCGTGTCCATTTCTATCCCTGTATCTCTGATTCAGTTCTCTTGGAAGGCAGAGTGTGCCATTCTCACCTGACAATGAGAATGGTAATAAGAGCATCTACCTGGTGCGTTTGCTGCTACTATAAAGTGAGATAATGTTTAAAGGGCTTAGCATGGGCTGGCCAGAGTGAGTGCCCAGGAGGTGAGCAGCCATTAGGAAGGGTCGTACCCACTGATCTGAACTTCCCCAAGTCACAATGACCTAGGGCAGGGAAGACATATGAGCTATGCCTCTGAATGGCCACAGAGTAGGTCCTGGGCTGGCACCACTAAGGCTGCCTAGTAGAGCTTCCTCTCCCCCCTCCCCCTACTCTGTTAATCAAACAGGAGTGAAGTTTGTCAGGCCCACCCTCTGACCCATTGTCAGTCCCCCCACCAGGCTGGAAAGCAAAGGTGAAGGACCAGGGGAATGGGTCCCAGCCAGACCTCCAGAAGCCCACTGGCCTGGAGAAGGCAGCCCAGGTAAGGATACCAGGCCAAGGTCACGGGGCAACCTTCATCCCCAAGGATACCATCTTCTACCCGACTCCACTTTTTAATCTGGAGGTGCTCCTGAGCCCCAGGCCTCAGACTCCTTTTTATAATCCCCTGCTCACTCCCCACAGCCTGCCAGGGAGACAGCGGAAGCAGACCGAGAGCCCAGGAGTGGGTGGCCTGGTCTACAGGTGGGGCGGCTGGCCTGCGTGCAGAGCCTTGGGGCAGAGGTTGTGAGCAGCTCACCTGGTGTGAACACCCAGCCCCGCTGCTGTCGGCTCTGCTCTGTGGCCACCACGCGGACCGTCTGCATCACAGCCCCATAGGCCTCCCGAAACCACTGGATGTCAGACACCCTCCGTGTGTCACTCACCAGCTGCAGGGAAAGGACACAAACAAGTGCCCAACAGGACATGGTGCAGGGAGCAACAGGACAAGGCAAGGGGGTAAGGGAGAAAGAGAAGAAGACCCAGACCCAGTCCAAATGAACAGGAGCATGGACTACAAAACCCAGGAAAGTGTAGCCCCATTTCCTATTATTACCCAGACAGCCGGGACGGACATCCCCTCCTCCCCCCAGGCAGCCCTTCCTGACTGCTGCAGTCCGCAGCCCGATATGCCCACACTCTATTCTACGGTCATGTCGGTCATCGCTGAGCTGAAGAAGAGACCTCAAGCTTCGAAGTCAGATCAGCCAATCCAATGCACTCATTTTACAGGTGAGCAAACTGGTGCCAGAAACAAAGATACCCTAATTGGTCCCTGCCCCCAGCACCTTTTAAAACGTAAATGTGATTCCCGTCAGCCCCTTGCCCTAAATCTCTCAAAGTTTTCCCATAATTCTAATACAATCCAAAGCTCTCACCCCAGTTTACAAGGACCTATAAGATCTGGCACCTATTTCCCATCATTTTCCCTTCATTCATTCTGCTGCAGCCAAGTGACAACCTTGCTGTTTCTTAAACATACCAACCGGGTCTCCTCCTCAGGGCCTTTGCACATCCTACTCCCTCTGCCGAGATAATCATGAGGGAGGCTCCCTTGCTTCATGGAGGTTTCTGCTCAAATATCACCTCCTCGGAGAGGCTGTCCCTACCATCCTGGCTCCCTTCCTGTCCCTTTCAATTCTTATATGCTTTTAATTTTTCTCTGAGCACTAAGTATTCATGAAACCGTCACTATTTATCTGTTTGTGTGTTTACTGCCTGATCTGCACTCTGTAGAGTCAGCTCCATGAGGGGAAGGACTGTGTCTCCATTCACTGCTCTATTCCTGGCCCTTAGCACTGTCTGACACATAAGGAGCACTCAGGAGCACATGGTCAATGAACGAATGAATAAGCGAATAAAGAGGTCAGCTGTTTCTGTCCATGCTGCGGACATGTTCATTCACCCAGCTCTTAAACAAGTACTATGTCAAACACCTACTGTGTGCCGGGCACTGGGGATAGAGTGGTGAGCACAACAGACCTGGTGCTTGCCCTCAGGAAGCTCACTGTCTGGTGGGAGAGACAGACTCTAAAGATGCAGCTTCACTAATTACCATGTAATCACAGCGCATCTCAACAAGCATCTCTACCTTACCGCTCTGAAACTGAACTCCTGATTTTGTCCCCAAACCTGTTCCTCCACACCGTCCCTATCTCAGAAAATCACAACTCCATCTGTTTAGCTACTCAGAACAAAACCCTTGGATTTGTCTCCTGTCCTTCCACCCCAGAGCCATCATGTCGGGAAATCCTATTGGTTCTATCCTCAAAATCTGTGCAGAATCCGCCCCTTCTCTCCACTCCACCACCACCCCGAGCTGAGCCACGGCCATTTTGCTGTCTTGTGGAAAGATCCTCTGCCTGGCCTCTCTGCTTCCATTCTTGCCCTCCCGCAGCAGCCAGGGAGAGCTTTCTATAAACCTTAGAGCAGACCATGCCTCTCCTCTGCTCCAAACCCTCCAGTGAGTCCCCATCTCACTCAGAGAAACCCCAGCCTCTTCCAGAGAATCTGCAATGATCTGACCTCACCTCCTGCCACTCACGCTTCACCCACAAAAACCCATCTGGGTCACTCCCTTCCTTCAGGTCCCGCTCAAACGTCATCACATCAGTGAGACCTTCCTGATACCTTTAATAAAGCAGCAACCCAGCCCTCCTCAGAGTCCTGGCCTGCTTTATTTTGTCCCTTAGTATTTATCTCCACCTGACATATTCTATATTTTATTAGGGCCTAACTCCCTCTGCCCCCAGCTTAATGTAAGTACCCTGAGAGCAGGGACTTCATCAGATTTTCACATGATGTATCCCCAAATCACCTGGAACCAGTCCTGCTACAAGAAGATACTACTGGGGGCTTCCCTGGTGGCACAGTGGTTGAGAGTCCGCCTGGCGATGCAGGGGACACAGGTTCATGCCCCGGTCCGGGAAGATCCCACACTGGGCCCGTGAGCCATGGCCACTGAGCCTGCACGTCCGGAGCCTGTGCTCCACAACAGGAGAGGCCACAACAGTGAGAGGCCCGTGTACCGCAAAAAAAAAAAAAAAAAAAAAAAAGAAGAAGATACTACTGGCTGCCAGAATGAATGAGGAGGGAAAAGGGTAAGGTGCTATGGGAGCACCTGACCAGGAGCGCCAGTTAAGACCTGGGCATCAGGGAAGTCTTCCCGGTAGAGGTGCCATGGGAGCTGAGCTGGAGCTAACCAGGTGAAGAGGGATAGAAAGGGCAGTCCGGGCAGGTAGAGGACACGGGCAGAGGCCTTGATTCCAGAAGGGGTTTGATTTATTTGAGGAACAGAGAGAAGGCCAATGTTGCTGCGGCTTAAGGAGTAAGGAGGCTAAAAGGGCAGCAGGAGCCAATCATTCAAGGCCCAGAAGTTCACGTTACAGATTTTGATTTTGTCCTTCAAAACAGTGGGACAAAGCGTTCTAAACAGGACTTGGTTGATGTTTTTAAAAGGTCACTCTGGCTGCTGTGTGATGAATGGATCACAAGGAACAAGAGCCAAAGCAGGCACCCATGTGAGGCCTGCTACGACCGTCTAGGTGAGAGACAGTGGGGGCTTGGACCAGGGGCTGGCCGTAGGGAGAGAGAAATGGACACATGTGAGATATGTCTGGGGAGAGGCAGAGGGCTGGGGAAAAAAGATTTTCCTAATGCTGCCATAGAGCCCACTTACCCAGACGGGCTGGGAGACACCCTCCACGATCTTCCTGCAGAAGAAGCCTGGGTCGGCCTGGCGCTTCTCCTCCCCCCAGCGGATCATGTCCCTCCGAAAGGGCTCCTTGTAGGTGCTGGCATCCAGGAGTCTCTGGAAGTCTAAGCCGTGCTCCTGTCCAAAGCACATTCTGTTTATGCCACCACCCTCTCAACCTCACTTAGGTCTTCCCTAAAACAGAGGGAGGGCCACCCCTCCCCTCACGTGCCCTCCCTGAGGGCTGCCGCAAGGACTCGTGGGGTTGCCGCCAGGCCAGAGGCCTGCAGGGGAAAGGGCCCTAGAAACTAAGAACTCCCAACCACTGGCAGATGGAAGAAACGCCTTGGGATAATCCAGAGATTGTTTCAGTTTGTCTTTAAATGTGTGATGTGGTTTTCTCTTTTGCAACAGTTTTACCTTCCCAATTATTTCTGGCTTAAACTAAACCTGAAATTAGTTTACCTCCCTTGGGCGCAGGCTTAGTCTTCAACTAAAGTGGGAAATCCGAAAACATCACATTCTGTGTCCTTCCACACCCCCTCTGGCATCGTTTGTCCCCATCCCAAAGCCCAGGAGACTTGGCTTCCCTGTCTCTCTCCCCTTCCCCTCACCCCTTTCCTCATCCCCAAATTCCTGCCACCTTTGCTGCATCAGCATCACTACATTTGGCTCTGGGCACTCCTGGACCCCTGGAGCAGGAGGGGCTCTTCTGACTACCCCAGGTAACCCCTTCCAGACCCAGCCTTCCCTTCTCCAGGGACACTGACGAGCAGGAGGGTCCATCCAGAGGGCCCCAGGATGGGAGGGGGTCTGAAAAACATCACTCAGTTCAGGTTTCAGCTCCCCTGGCATTCACTGCAGCAAGACCCTCTCCCGAAAGACTCAGTTTCTTCACGTACAAACTGAAGGGGCCGTGACCCAGCAAGGTAAATCACCTACCTGACCCCTATTCCAAGGTGGGGCCAGCAGCCATCTCCCATTTATAAACTATAAACTAGTTTGCCATGTACTTTTTTTTTTTTTTTTTTTGGCTGCTTTCTCTAGCTGCGGCGAGCAGGGGCTTCTCTTCGTTGCGGTGCACGGGCTCTAGGCGCACAGGCTTCAGTAGTTGTGGCACGTGAGCTCAGCAGTTGTGGCTCATGGGCTCTAGAGCACAGGCTCAGTAGCAGTTGCACACGGGCTTAGTTGCTCCGTGGCGTGTGGGATCTTCCCGGACCAGGACTCAAACCCGTGTCTCCTGCATTGGCAGGCGGATTCTTAACCACTGCGCCACCAGGGAAGCCCTACCATGTACTTTTTACCACAGGGGAAGATTAGCCACCAGGAGCATTTTGGTCTGCTTGTCAATTATATTCCCCATTGCAACTTAAAACATCAATGCATTAACATTTCATTTTGAATTTGTTTTCAAATGGGAGTAATGGATGAAGTGGTGCTGGACTTAAAAACAGCGGGCACAGGCTGGCCTATCCGTCTCCTACTGGGGTTTTAGAAATGCAAACTCCTGCCCACTCACCCTACCCACCCTCCAGCCTGGATCACTGGTCTGGAGTGGGGCCTAATTTGGGAAGTTTGGAAGCAGATCAGTGGTTTTCAAACTGCTCCTCTGAGCCCTGGGGTTTGGAGGTGCCCAAGCCCCACTGGGGAAGGCTGAGTGCCTCTGCTCCACTCAGAGTCGCTCCCAGTCTATCTACGGGATACAAGGAATTTCTGCATCCAATTTCATTTGGGAAAGGTTCCCACTAAAAAAATATATATATATATTGAAAACCACTGAATCTGTTATTCCCAGGATCCCCCAGGCTGCCATCCTACAAATGGGTCTGTTTAGGTGGTGGGAGAAGACCCGATGGTACAGGAGAATGCTTCCCATGGAGATGGGGCCGTCATATGGAAGGAGGGGACAAATTCATTTTGTGTGGACCCAGAAGTTCAGTCTCAGGCCAACTGACCAAGGGGCCACGAGCACAGGTCCCTGGAAGGGTGCACCTAGAGGTCAAGGACAGAAATGTAAGCGAAGATCAGGCTCTTCATTGTGTGGGGAGCTAATCCCACCCTCCAGGCTCCCTTTCTGAAGTCTAAGATCCTGAGAGTTCCTATTTATTTTTTGCAGTCCTATTTTTTTTAATCTACATGGTTCAAAATTCAAAAGATAAACATCGTTTACAGTGAAAAATCTCTCTCCCTCCTCTGTTCCCCAGCCATGTAGGTCCCTTCCCTGGAGGCAGCCAATGGTTCAGTCTCTTATGTATCCTGCCCAGGCTTTTACACATCCCAGGCGCCTAGAACGGTGCTGAATGCACCCCATAAATATTTGTTGAATGGTTAAGTATATGAGCAAATATATTTACAATTTTCCCCATTTTTATACAAATGTAGCATTCTCTATACAGTGTTCTACATCTTGCTTTTGTCATGTGATTACATTTCTAAGGGGAGAATTCCAAGGGTTGTTGCAGGCCAGCTTTAATGGGGGGAGGGGGGGTGATGTGTGTCATACTTTTTGAATAAGGGGACAGACCCTTACCAATAACACGGCATCACAGCTGCCAACTCGCGTCTACAGCCTTTTCTGGACACACTTTCCTGAACACGCTCTAGGGAGGTGGCCTCAAATGAGTAAGGCCAATGGGAAAGAAACTTAAACAGAAAATGCCCCCAAAAGGTCCACTTATAGAAAGCGGAGAGCCGTCTGCCACCCTGCCAAAAGGAGTCAGAGAGATGCTTTTAGTGACTCAAGCAACAGCACAGCAACCAAAGCTCAGGAGCTGGCTTCTTCCAGCCCACCAGATGCCACAGAACCACCACCTACCTGAGCATACTGCTTCTTGAGTGGACCGGAGAGCCGGAGGACAGCACACACGTCAGCTCCAAGTCTGTGAGACAGGGAGATCCGAACCCCGTTAACCTAAAGCTTCCAGGCCCCAGAAGAGTGAAGCCCCATTTCTGCTACTGGCATCTATATAACTTTGTCAGGTCTCAACTTCCCTGATTTCCTCATCTGTAAAATGGGAATAACAGTTTCTTTTCTGTCTCCCACAGGATTATTATGAAACTCGAATGTGAAAGAGCCCTGAAACTAACAGGGAAAACAAATAAAAGCATAATTATAGTGTGAACATCCTAGCAATATTCTGGCTGGATTCAGTTACTGCTGGGCCCCTGAACTAGTTCTCTCACAGCCAGGGGTATCTCAGTCTCAACTGACTTGGTCACCACACATAAATAACTCATTCATTCAGTTGTTCAATTTACTCAGCCAACCATTTGTTGGGTTCTATATTTGGAGCCAGGTGATACGAATGTGAATAAGATACATGATTTCTGCCCTGACCTTGAGATGCTTACAGATTCACTTAAACACTGACATGGTGAGATAGATGTTCTTATTTCCATGTTTCAGATGAGGAAACTGAGGTTGAGTGAGGAAAACTGACTCACCCAAAGCACCGTTGCAAGTAACAAAGCCAATATGGGTAAAATAAATATAAAAGCCAACATTTAGTTCCTATGCCTTTACTAAATGCCAAGAATTGTTCCAAGCCCTTCATGTGCGTTATCTCATTTAATCCTTACAATCACCCTATTATTATCTCCATCTCACAGATGACAAAACTTTCTCATGAGAAACTTGTACAGGCTTCCCTAGTGGCGCAGTGGTTAAGAATCCACCTGCCAATGCAGGGGACACGGGTTCGAGGCCTGGTCCGGGAAGATCCCACATGCCGTGGAGCAACTAAGCCCCGTGCGCCACAACTACTGAGCCTGCGCTCTAGAGCCCACATGCCACAACTACTGAGCCCGCGTGCCACAACTACTGAAGCCCACGCACCTAGAGCCCGGCTCTGCAACCAAAGAAGCCACCGCAATGAGAAGCCCGCGCACTGCAACGAAGAGTAACCCCCGCTCACCACAACTAGAAAAAGCCCGTGCGCAGCAACAAAGACCCAACACAGCCAAAAATAAATAAATAAATAAATTTATTTATTTATTTAAAAAAAAAGAAAAGAAACTTGTACAAGATCACACTCGGATAAGTGGTTGAGTCAGGATTTGAATCCCAGCAGTCTAATTCCAGAGCCTGCGCTTCTGATCGCGAATTGATTTATGTGTTGGGTGGTAAGAAGAAATGTTACTTAGGAAAAGGTGGCGGATACTTAGTGGTGAAAGATTAGGGCGGCAAATTCTGCCCTGCGCTTTTCCGCAACCTCTTAGAACCCCCATGGTGCCCCAAAGCAGCCTCCTGTTACCCTCACCACACTGGCCTTCAAGAGGAGAGGAGCCCCACTCCACGTTCTCAGGCTTCTGTGCTCTCCTAGCCCAACAAAAATGCTCCCACACAGAACATCTTGCTTTGGGAGAAAACCTGAGCAAAAGGTATTATTAGGAGAAGCAGTGAGGTAAAGCAAAAGGAATCCATTCCTTGGAGCTAGGCTAAAGCTGAATTTGAGTTCTGGATCTACTGATTACTTTGTGTTTCTGGCAAGTTTGGGTTTGGGTTTTTGTTTGTTTGTTTTTAACTTTTCAGAGTCTCAGTTTCTTCATCTGTGAAATGGAGATACTGATTAATAATACTACACAGTACCTAACAACACTATGTGACACACAATAAAGGCTCAGTAAACCGCAGCGATTAGGTGGTGTGTTGGGCAAGGATTCGTCTTTGAAGTCTGATACAACTGAGGTGTGGTCTGAGGCAAATCCTTTATCTGTGACTCAGTTTCCTTTTCTGCAACCATCACCTCGCAACACTGTCTGGAGGATTAAGAATGATGTATAAAAAGTGCCTTGGTAGTAACTGTTACTAATGCTTCGTGGAGAGACCTACAGCTTACAGTCTTCGGAGAGGTGGCCGCCTGGTTCTTTGAGGCGGGTGTGTGCAGACTGCTGTTTTACGTGACGGTGACAGTCCTTCACTTCTCGCCGCCCAGCGCTCCTTCTGCCCTGCAACCCGAGGACCTCAACTCCAAAGCTCACTCCATCACACCCCAACATACCCCTCGTGTCACGTGATTCGGGGTCGCCCCGGTCCTCCCCCTTCCCCGCCCCGCGGACACCTGCTCTGCAGCGCCTCGGTCACGAAGTCCTTCCCGGATTTCCTCTTCCCGCTGAACAGCAGCACCAGCCGCGGGGCGCCTCCCAGCGGGGCCATGGGGCCGCCACCCTTTGAGATCCCTAAAACTGACACTTTTCCCTACCCCTTAAATCAGGCCACCTGGCCCAGAATGGACGCGGCCACTCGGTGGAGTGGCAACAAGGAGGGGTTCCGCCCCCGTCTTCTTCATGGCCGTGGAGAGGACTGTCAGCCCGCACACGTGCTTCCGTGACTTTAAATTAAAGCCTGCACAAATGGATTATGGAGAGAAAGAAGGTTACTTCCTAGGGCAGCCTTCGAGCCTATAAAAGCTCCCCTACCAGAACTCATTTGGAACCGTCCAACCCGCCCAGACGCTGACGTCACGGTCCCGCCTTCTTAGCCGACACGCGTGACACGTTGGGGGGCGGGAATTGGACGCAACTATTTTCCTCTGAGGGGGGGTGACGTCTTAAAATTTCCTAAGTGAACCTCACATTGCCTTCCACACAACCCTACAAACATGAAAAAAAAAAGAATAAATGTGTTCATGTTGAGAAAGTTTTCAAAACTGCCTGTTTATCTGTGCATTTTAATGCATGTGCTAAAGCAAATCCGTATATGCCCCACAGGGAAAATAGGTCTTTCTGGATATGAAATGAGGCGAGGACTCGAGGGGTGTGTCTGGTGACGTCATGCTGGGGAGGAGCTTAGACAAACGCGTTATTTTATCGTTAAACGGGTTTTATAATTGGAGAGGCCACCACAGTTTGACCCTTTAAGCCCAGCGAGAAGATTCACATCGCTCTTCTAGCCGCAGCCTCCTTTCCAAAGGTTTTCTGAAGCGAGAGAGCTTGGAATGACATCAATAGAATAGGTTTAAAAGGGGCTTTGAAGCCACCCCTGGACGAGATTACCTAGTTGGGTTTTTTTTTTGGTTTTTGTTTTTTGGTTGGTTGTTTGTTTGTTGAGATTACCTAGTTTTATCTGGGGTCTAGCTCTCAGCCAGGAGTTCAAGGGGCAAAAATAAGTGGTGGTGATCTGCCCCTTCCCTGAATTCCCACTTCTGCCCACAGCAGCTGACAGCTAGTCCGAGTTAAGTAAGTGGAGTCATCTTTAGCTATGACTCGCTGCCCTGTATCTCTCTGAGCTTGTCAAAACAGAGTCTGCAACCCATTACTGCCTCCATTTTACAAGCTATCATATCAAGATAAGTGAGGTTTTCTTTGGGAAAAACCATTAATTCTCTGAATATTGAAAAGATGGCACAGGAGAAGCTAAGGAAATTAGAATGGTCAATGGTCAGGTGCACAAAGAATGGACTTCGGGAAGGTCTTTTTTCTTGTAACTCTGAAAGCACTGTACATATCCATGCACTTAGAAGGCAGCATGGAGTTGTAATCCCGGCTCTGACACTTCGCAGGGATGTAGCCACCTCACAGGGTTACAATAAGAAGGAAATGAGGGAAAAAATGATAAAGTACAATAAAAATGCTTTGTATATTCTCAAGTGTAATCCAAATATGGATTTATTTATTCTGAGCATTGTGTGATTTCAAAGTTTATACTCCAACACAGGACCAGATTTCCCAGCTCACCTTCAACAAGCGTTTATTTGGGACTCCACTGAAAGCACCAATCCCACCTCTGCCAGCAGAGACTAGAAAGGATTAACTGCACTCACCCTATTGCTTTCCTGAGTCATCACTAAGAAGTCAGAACTCCCAGAGTCTCTTCCCTCACCTGACCAAACTACACCCCACCCCTTCCCCACACCCCTCCTAGAATAAAGACCCCTGGAATTCCCAGTGATCAGAAAACATCTCCCACACCCCAGCCTCTTCTCAGTAGCTCTCTCCTGCTCCCTGCCTCAACTGAACCTCACTGTCCCCTATTACCCTCCCAGGGGAGGCCTCTTATTCTCCCCCAGCCCTCAGACCTCAGCATACATAAACTTGGTGTCTGTCGTCTCCCTCCAGCCCCATTTCAGCTTCCAGACCATCCCTCCTCTGCTTCTTGGAAAACTCTGGCTTCTCTAAGACTCATACCACCTGGCTGAGCTACCCTTTTCCCCTCTTCAGTGTTGACAACCACCAATCCTGATGCTCGTTCTCATTGTACTGAGACTCAGCCACTGGCGCCTTGTCTTCTTGTCCACCCGGTTCCCATCGTCATTCTCAATGATTTCACTATCCGAGTGGTCAGCCCATCCAACACCCTGACAGCTCAAAGCCTTGACCTCAGTTGTCCAAAGGCTTTTTCTTCCTCTCCTCCTCAGACACCAGCTCCCATGGACACACCCTGGGCCTTGTCATCACCAGAAACCATTCAACCTGCAAATTCACACACCCATCCACCCTACCCTCCAAGGTCACTTGCTCAAGCACTCCCCAGAGGAGTGCTTCCCTCCCAGGCCCATGAAACTCTTCATATGTTATATAACATCTGCTCCTCCTTCCTTCCACAACCAAAGGGAATATCAAATAAGTGAATATGTGTGGAAAGCTTTCCTGATCTGTACAGGACTGCACAAATGTGAGGCACTATTTTTAGGGTAGAACAGTCTGGTCTAAAGGCCAGGCTGCTGCAGAGGGTGAGGCAGGAAAGGGGGAAGGAGCAGGAGTATCTGACAGGAGCGGAGACCACCCAGGAAGGGAGCGGCCAGATTTCTTGGGGACTGAGATTGGAAGCCAGAGATGCCGGACACTGCTGCCCGATGAGGGTTCCGGAAGATGACACTTGAGGAAGCCAGTGCTGGCCCCTGAAAACAGAGAAGTACCCCCAGAACTCAGGAATACAGTTACCTCTGAGAGTCACCCCTCACTAAAGGGACGGACCATTTAAAGAGAGGCTTGCCTCACTGACCCAGAAGACAGCTTAGAAGGAAGCCCTGTTTGAAGGAAGCCTGCTCACTGTATTAACACACCCAGAGACAGGATGAGCCTGCAGGGGAGCAGCTCATACAGCTCTGCAGAGCCTACAAGAGGGAGGAGCTGGGCTTGTCAGTGCCCCTCTAACCCTGCCCAGGCAGAGGGAATCCCAAACAGGAGGTACCAAGTTCTGCCCCTCCAGGGCAAGCCTGTCTAACAGTGGAACCAGACGCCATCCTGGCTCAGCAACACCACCAATTACCCTTGCTTCAGCTCCATGCTCTGGTTCCAGTTTATCTTCCCATGGTCATTGTCCAACTGACCCAAGCATTTCCCTCTGCTGGCGTGGTCAGTGTAAATGTGACTTGTGAATCAGTCCTCATGTGTTTGACCATCACTGCTTCAGGGGCAACGGAGCCTGGCAGATGAAGGACAGAATGCGGTAGGGTTGTAAGGAAGTAGTACAACAGGGAAAGAAAAGAGGGGGAGTCTGGGTCTATGAGAAGATGATGGAGAGAAGTCCATTCATTCATTCATTCAACATGTATTTAAATGTCTAAAACATGCCGGGTACTGCTAGAGATGCAACAGTAAACCAAACAGAGACTACTCTCAGCATTTATTCTCATGGGAGACAGGCAATTTCAAGAGAGCTTAAAAAGGGAGCATGAAGGACTTCCCTGGTGGCGCAATGGTTAAGAATCTGCCTGCCAATGCAGGGGACACGGGTTCGATCCCTGGTCTGGGAAGATCCCACATGCCATGGAGCAACTAAGCCCATGCGCCACAACTATTGAGCCTGCACTCTAGAGCCCACGAGCCACAACTACTGAGCCCACGTGCTGCAACTACTGAAGCCCACACGCCTACAGTGCATGCTCCACCACAAGAGAAGCCACCAAGATGAGAAGCCTGCGCACTGCAACAAAGAGTAACCCCCGCTCGCCACAACTAGAGAAAGCCCACACGCAGCAACGAAGACCCAACGCAGCCAAAAATAAATAAATAAATTTATTTTTTTAAAAAAAAGGGGAGCATGAGAGGGACTTCCCTGGCAATCCAGTGGTTAAGACTCCGCCCTTCCAATGCAGGGGGTGCAGGTTCGAGCCCTGGTCTAGGAACTAAGATCCCACATACTGCTCGGCACGGCCAAAAAAAAAAAAAAAAAAAAAACATGGGACATGAGAGCCTTCATCCCAGAATTGGAGAGGGAAAATTGATATAAATTACCACTTGCAGGATGCTCTGGTATAAACTGGAAATGGCTCTATGCATCCTCATAGATGTTGTTCCCTCTGCCTGAAACACCCTTCCCATCTTTTTGCCGTGAAACAAACTCCGACTTGTACTTTAACAGTTAGCTTGTTTTGCCTCCTTCAGTGAGCCTTCCCTGACCTCCCACCCCATCTGACGTAGACACCTGTTTTCTATGCTCCTGATTGATATACCCTATGCTCACCCCTACACAGCATCTTACACTACATTGTAACTGTCAATTTACTCACTTCTCTCCCCCCAGATAGCTAATAGTTAATATTTATTGAGCCTTTACTATGTGCCAGACCTTTTCTCAATCATATGACATAAACAATACTACCCCTACTTAAAAATGAGACAACCAAAGCTCATTATAACTAAGAGATTTGCCCAGGCATTCACCAAATAGATTGCTGTACATTGCCCGCAACCCTGCGATCCCACACCAAAGAGAAGGGGCAAAACAACTTCCAAACAAACAACTGAAGAATCTGACACTTAGGGTCCCACTCCTCTCATGAACCCCCTCCCCCAAATTCTTTAAGTACCCAGTGAGGATGAAGCCAGAGAAAATATAAGGTATGCCCAGCTCTCACTTTGTCCGGTTCTCTAGCTTTAAGAAATGCATCAGGCAGAAGATGTCCCTGGAGGTGAGAGGCTGCTCGCTCAAGGGGATGCCAGGGGAGCAACCAACCTTCCACCAGACAGTGTGCCCCCTCCAGCAGACCATTGGAAAGTTGGATTCTCCTGTTCAGTCCTTGGTCTACAAATTATTTCCATCACTGTAAGGTAGAGATTTTACCTTCATTTTTATGGCTAAGGAAACTGAGGCACAATTCAATGAATATTGTACAGCCAAGATAAAATTTGAGCAATCTGTAAATTAATATGTAGAAAAACAGGGGCTTCCCTGGTGGCGCAGTGGCTAAGAATCCGCCTGCCAGCTCAGGAGACATGGGTTTGAGCCCTGGTCTGGGAAGATACCACATGCCGCGGAGCAACTAAGCCAGTGCGCCACAACTACTGAGCCTGCGCTCTAGAGCCTGTGAACCACAACTACTGAGCCCATGTGCCACAACTACTGGAGCCCGCGCACCTAGAGCCCATGCTCTGCAACAAGAGAAGCCACA